TGGACCTAAGGGGTGGGAGAAGGGACAGAGAAGGACACGCACACACAGAACCCAGGGGTCCGGGTGCCTCGGCAGGGCCAGCCTGGGTCACCGGCCACGCGTTCAGTGTCCCACCGTCACCCACTTAGTGGTTCACCCTGTGATGCTGGTGGAGACACGTCGTTCTTGTCATTTCTCTTTTGTTTAGAACAACCGATGACCGTCACATGGCCAGTGTCGGAGCAGAGCCCCGCGCTGGGAGGCGAGCCCGTGTGGCCTCGGGTCCCCATAACTGCCTCCTGTCCCCTCTTGGACAGAGAGATGGGCCGTGGAAGGCTCCGCCACGTCCACCACGTTGGTGGCGGGCAGGGGCCTTGGCACGTTGGGCAAGAGGTGGGAGGACTCGGCAGGAAGCGGGGTGCCCCAGGCTGCACCCCCAGCTTTCCGACCAGGGGGCTGAGGGGCTGAGGCTCCTTATTCTGCTCTTGGCCGGGTCCCCCCTTAACAGGGTGTGGCGCAGCCACTTGATGGGCACAGAGACCAGCTGCCCTCAGGGGTCACGTCCAGGGAGCCCCAGCCCCGACCCCACGCCCAGGCCTCCCACGGGACTCCGAGAACCGCGTCCCTCCTCCACATGAGCTTCCCGGGCCTCCTGGGCTTGTGGGGTCTCCTCCCCGCTCCCACCAACAGCCCCCGGAGCGCGACACCCAGGCCCACGGCATGGAGAGGAGGACACTGGGCTGGGCCACGCGCCTGAGCCACTTGGTCAGAAGAGGCCCAGCTGGGACTCGAGCCCGGAGCGCCCGACGCCGGCCCTGCTGTTGCCACCCAAGTCCAATCCCACCTTTCCCGGGGCCATCGACCACCCAGGCTCAAGTGCCCCTGGGCGCCCCTGGATTCTCCAAGCGCAGATGTCACAGGGCCCCAGCTCCTGCGCTGGCCGGGTCACTGTCCCCGAGCGGGGTGCCTCGTGGCACACTGAGGCTGCTGGCGTCCCGGTGCCTGGCCAAGGTCTTCATCCCTCCTAGGTGGGGTGTGGGCTCCGGCTGTCACTGCTTTTTTTGGTGACATTTCTCACAGGAACAAAAAGCCTTGTGTCACTTGATGTTTAACATGGCTCCGTGGGGACCGTGGCCGGCTCAGAGAGAGGAGGGAACGTGTTCAAGTGACGCCTCCCCTGGGGACCCTGTCTCCCTGCAAGTGAAACGTGGGGGACGGGTAACCGAGGCCTCTCGAGCCAGCCTGGGTCCACTTTAGGATCCACAAGGGCACCTGCCTGTGGCGGTCGCTGTCACCAGCTCCGAGTCGGGCTCGAGGTGGGGGGCATACAGAAGTCGGGAGCGGGTTTCTCCGACTGCTCTTGGAGAATGGGAAGGGGACGGGGCCGAGGATGGGAAGGCAGCAGGGACAAGCCCTCCTCCGTCACCCCACCCGTCACCCTGGTGGCCGTCATCCTGGTGGCCGGGAGACCCCAGGGCGGGCTGATTGCGGTCCCATCCTAGAGCAGAGGAGGTGGCGCTCCGCTGGGCTGTCAGCCTGGAGTGGGCACCGCGGGGCCAGAACACAGACCTGTTGGGCACCAGGCGTTCCCCTGGGGTGACCGTGGGGCCCCTCGGAAGCCCATGAGCTCAGGGGCCTGGCAGGTGGCCGCCCGCTGTGGTCACTCGCGGTCACTCTCGGACAGCCTGTGCTCCCTGGCCGCTGAGTCGGCGAAACCCACTGGCCACTGGCCACCGGTTTACAGGAACCCTCCTCCCGGGGGCAGAAATGGGACCTGAAACTGCCCAAGGCAGCGGGATGGGGGCGGTGGGGACAAAGGGGGGGCCGCCTGCCCGGCCCTGGGAGGGGACCGCAAGGGGAAGCCCTTCCGCCTCTGGGAATGGAACTTCTGCTTTGGACGGAGAGCAGCGGGCTCCACTCCTGGCCCCACTGCTGCCCGGCCCCACGGCATCCAGGACCCCAGGACCCCAGGTGAGCACAGCCCAGCACCCGGGGGATGGGGCAGCGTGGCCTCGGAGCCGCAGGGGTCTGACGGTGCGGAGGCAGGGCCCAAGGCGGCCTGGGGCTCTCTGGGGTGAGCCGGGAGTCTGTGGCAGCCCTCTTACGTGCTGGTCACCTCGGGCCAGTCTCCTAACCTCTCTCAGCCCGAGACACCCTCCGGGGAGCACAGAGCCCTTCGGGGTGCAGCAAGCCTTAGAGGTCAGCTCGGTGGCCACCTTGGCTGCAAACACAGCAGCGGAGCAGAGGCGGGACGTGAACTGGGTCCCCTCTGCCGGTCCAGCACTGACGTCCCAAACCCTGCTTCTCCCAGCTTCCTGCCCCCTGGTGGGTCTCTCAGCTGGACTCTGGAGGAAATCCCTTGACCGGCGGGGAGCTGGGATTCGCTGTTCCTTACAGTGAGCTCAGTAACAGGGGAGAGGCCGGGAGCGTCCCAAGATCTTTTCTCTTCTGGGTGCTATCAAGTCCAATCCAGAAATCAACCTTGCCAAAGAGGCTCAGAGAGGTTAAAGCACTGCCCAGGGTCACACAGCAGAGAGGGAGTTCAAATTCAAGTTCCCGACTCCAAGTTGGGGGAAGGAACTGTTGGGACTGGGAGGAGATAGAAGGGTAAACTGCGGTGGGAAGAAGTGATTTTCTGGAGGCCCCTAATAGCGGCAGAAGCGACCTGAACCTGCGGGGCTGTTCTCCATACAACAAAACAGGCCCTCAGCATCCAGCGACTGCCTGCTGCCTACCTGCTGATAAAAGCCACTTTCCTCTGCCCCTTACACATGGCCAGCACCACTCTTAGCAAGTCCTGTGCAAGAGTCCTTTCATCAGACTGTCTGGCTCCTATTTCTTAAGTGGCCTCTTAAGATCCAGCGTAGGTAGGTTCGAATCCCAGCCAATGTGAAAGCTGTGTGACCTTTGTTGGGTGCTTGCCCTCTCTGATCCCCAGTTCCTCATCCGTAAATGAGAAAGCAAAAGTGGTTCCTCAGGGGGCTGTCATGAGAATTAAACTAAATGAGACAATGACACCTCATGCGTTTGGCTTAGAGCCTGGTCCCTGCTAAGTGCCCAACTTGATAAGTTGTCAAACTGGCATTTTGTAGAATTCCCAGCAAGAGTGAGAACTGAGGCTTTCTCAGAGACGAGCAGGGTCTGCCCCCAGGCCAGCCCCGCCGTCCCTGGCGAGTCGGGGCCTCGCTCCTCACTCCTGAGACGCAGCTTCCTACGCGCCTCTGGGTGCTGGGGGCTCAGTGGACACGCCGAAGCAGCAAGTCCAAACGGGAGCCCCGAGCCCCCGGTTCCTGCCACCCGTGGTCCTGTGGCTGCCCGGGAGGCCGGCAGGGCTGCTCTGCTGTCCCGGCCCTTGTGGGCGGGGGGCAGTGAGGGAGGGCTTCCTGGAGGAGGAGGCTCCCCTCAAGGGCTGAGGGGCGGGGAGGACTCCGACCTGGGGAAGGTGGACGGGGCAGGTGCCGTCACGGAGACGGTGCGTTAGAGCCCTGCACAGAGTCGCCACCGCAGGGATGTGAGGACTCGTGAAGGCTCCTCAAAAAGCTAAGCCCACAGTCGTGGCCACCCACGGCCAGCTCAGCACCCAGAATTGAAAGCTCCCCAGAGGCGTGGGAGGCTGAGGCAGGAGGATCGTGAGTTCAGAGCCGGCCTTAGCCACCTAGTGAGGTCCTATCAACCCAGCGAGACCCTGTCTCTAATAAAATGTCAAAAAGGCTGGGGATGTGGCTCATTGGTTGAGCACCCCTGGGTTCAGTCCCCAGTACCCCCCTAAAAAAAAAGCAGGTCCTCAAATCTTTGTGAGGAACGATGGTGGCAGCATTGTTCATAATAGCCAAGAGGTGGCAGCTTCCCAAATATCCATGAGAGAGGAGTGGAGAAGCCGACCGTGGTCCATCCACACGGTGGAATATTATTCTGCCCATAAAAGCGAACCAAGCCCTGATACACGCCACAACACGGACGAACCTCCAATGCAAACAGTCAGACCCGAGAGGCCATATCCTGTGATCCCACTTCCTTAGCGGGCTGCTGTGATGTGAATGCTGCCTGTATTCAAAAGAACAGAACAAGGGGGGACCCGCTGGACCAGGGCCCCTTCCGTCTGTCCTGAGAGCTAAAGCCCTGGGCCGCGCTGGCTCTGCTGATCTCTGGGACAGTCCCCGGCCTCCTCCCCAGCTCCCAGGATTAACAAAGGACATTCGGCCCTCCGGCCAGAGGCGCAGCTCCCCGAGGAGCCCGAGGAGCAGGGGTGGCCTGGTAGGGGGCAGGGTTGCTGGCTCTGCTCCTTACTGTGTGACCCTGAGCACGGGCTCGGCCTCTCTGAACATGAGTGCCCTCTGGGGTACAGGAATTAGTTTCCACCGTGCACCGATGCTCTTGAGGGTGCCGAGTGCCCGCCCGTCAACAGCACCTGCTCTCTAATGAAGGAGGCCTTCAGCCCCCACCCGCGGGTCCTTCCTGCCGCCTTGGCCCCTCTCCTCAGCCTATCTCAGGGACCCTCCCCACCATTCCCTCCTCCTGGTCACTCTCGCCCCAGCCCTTTCAGGACCCTCAGGTCTCAGCCTAAACCACACTTTTCCTCTGTGGAAAAGGCCGTCCTGAGGGACGACGTCTCACAGAGCCAGACACCCACCCTCCAGCCCCCTCCCTTTCCCCCCGAGCCCCAGTCGCAGACGGCGACTGTCTATGTTCAACTGTAGGATGACCCACTGATCCTGTCCCCCTGAGGGCACAGGACCCCCGGGGCAGGGGCCACATCCTCCTGTCCACCCTCTGACTCTAAACCTAGGGCTGGGGAAAGCAGACACAGCACACCACTGAGCATGTGGGTGGGTGGGCGAGTGGATGAAGGATGGATAGAGGGAGGGATGGAGGAGGGATGGAGGGAGAGATGGAGGGTGAGTGGGTGGGTGGACAGATGGATGGGTGGATGGGTGGATGGATGAGTGAATGGATGGGTGGGTGGATGGGTAGATGGGTGGATAAATGAATGGATGGAGGATGGATGGAGGGAGGGGTAGAGGATGAATGGATGGGTGAGTAGGTGGGTGACTGGGTGGATGGGTGAGTAGGTGGGTGAATGGGTGGAGGATGGAGGGGGGGAGGGGTAGAGGATGAATGGGTGGGTGAATGGATGGGTGAGTAGGTGGGTGACTGGGTGGAGGATGGAGGGGGGGAGGGGTGGAGGATGGGCGGGTGGGTGGACAGATGGATAAACAGACAGGTGGACACAGGAAGAGGAGGATCCATGAGTGGGCGACGGCTGTGACCCCGTCTTCTCTCCGCAGGGGGCTGAGACAGGGATGACGTTCCCGGGGGGGCGTGCCTTGGTGCTGCTGCCACTGCTGCTCCGCATCTGCTGGGCCCAGAGCTGCACTGGGCCCCCGGCCATCCCTGGCACCCCTGGCATCCCTGGCATCCCTGGCAATGACGGCCAGCCTGGGACCCTGGGGACAAAGGGCGAGAAAGGTACTGCGGGCTCTGGGGCACACTGGTGTCACGGGCCGAGGCCCCATCTCCTGGCTCCCAAGTCACCGTCACCTGCCTTAGAAAATGCAAAAGCACAAACCCAGGACCTTTGCCAGGAGGGAATCCTGGGCCCCATTTTACAGACAGGAAAACTCATCTCCAGAGAGGTGCCCCGAGGTGCCGAGGCTCAGCCAGGGCCACGGCTCTTCCCGCCCCGCCAGGCAGACAGCACCGCCGCCACGCAGTCCTGGCTCCCCTTCTCCCCCAGAGCAGGGCTCCACCCCTGTGCCTTGCTAGTTCCTCACCTGTGAAGCAGGGACAGTGACACGGGGCTCCAATGGGACTGCCCCCACGAAGCCCCTGTGTGCCGCGGCTCCTTCCTCACCTCCCCTGGGGTCTGCCGCAGCCTCGGTGCAGCTCACCCTCCCGCCACCCCACGTCACCTCACAGATCCACCAAACAGCCCCGTCCCCCTTCTACAGATGAGGAAGCTGAGTTCCAAAGAACAGGACTCGCTGTGTCCAGGTGACACAACCAACACTGGCTCGTGTCACACGAGAAGCACAGCTGTCTGTCCGCTGACCCCAACTTCGCAGGCACCGTCCTCTGCTGCTCTGCTGGAAAATGGCCTTTATCGTGTGTCTCAAGGAGCAAGGGGTGGTGGCTGCCAGAGTGTGGAGTGATGATCCCAGAGTTCCCGATCGGGGCAGCGCAAGGGCAGCTGTGATGGATTGAGGATGTCTGCCGTGGCTGGGTGGGGGACAGGAGCACCTGGGCCAGGAGCTCAGTCGCCCTGCTCTAGGCTTCAGGCTGACAAGGGACCTGGGAGCTGGGGCAGAGGCAGGGCCAGCCCTGTCCTCGGCGGGTACCACTCTCCCCGTGATGCCCCGGTCACGAGGTCCCAGTGCAAGCTCCTTCCTTGGGCGCACTCGTGTCTCTGTCTCTGTCTCTGTCCTTCCAGGGCTTCCCGGGCTGGCAGGGGACCATGGTGAGTTTGGAGAGAAGGGAGACCCGGGGATTCCCGGCAACCCGGGAAAAGTTGGCCCCAAGGGTCCAGTCGGCCCGAAGGGTGCCCCGGGGTCCCCTGGATTGCCGGGTCCCAAAGGTGAGTCAGGAGACTACAAGGCCACACAGAAGATCGCCTTCTCTGCCATGAGGACCGTCAACAACGTCCTGAGGCGGGACCAGGTCATCCGCTTCGACAGCATCATCACCAACGTGAACAACAACTACGAGCCGCGCAGCGGCAAGTTCACCTGCAGGGTGCCCGGCCTCTACTACTTCACCTACCACGCCAGCTCTCGAGGGAGCCTGTGCGTCAACCTCGTCCGGGGCCGGGACAGCATGAAGAAGGTGGTGACCTTCTGCGACTACGCCCTCAACACCTTCCAGGTCACCACGGGCGGCGTGGTGCTCAAGCTGGAGCAGGGGGAGATGGTCTTCCTGCAGGCCACCGACAAGAACTCGCTGCTGGGCATCGAGGGCGCCAACAGCATCTTCTCCGGCTTCCTGCTCTTCCCTGATCCGGAGGCGTGACCCATGGGGCTGAACCCCACCTGCTCAGGGCCACCCCCCTCCCCCAGCAACACTCACCCCACCCCCAACACCGCCTCCTACCCGGCCCCCGCTCTTTTACTGAATGAATGAATAAATAAACTCTTCAGGATCAAGGGACGCAGTCTAGTCCAACTCTGGGTCCTAGCCCCTGGCACACAGTAGGTGCTCAGCCATGCTGGCTGAATGGATGCATGAACAATGGATGGATGGTAGATGGCTGGAGGGAGGGATAGGGGGCCCTTAGTAGCAGAAACTTCTATGTGGGGGTGACTGGAAGGCCACACAGGGATGGGACACTTCCTCCTCATGAGTCCTTGGGCTCCTCCTGGGAGAGAGATGGTGCCACACTCTGTTTAGAGGTCGAGACTGGGGACCAGAGGGCTGAAGGGACGGTCTGCAGCCTGGCAGCAAAGCTAGGCTTCAAGGGCAGCTTTGCCCTCGATGACCCGAGATGTCTTAAGGTAACATGTCCCCGCCAGGCCTCAGGGGACCGTAACCTCCCTTTACCCCTGGGAGGGATGCCTGGGTCCTCCTCCAACGTCCTAACTGACCTGGATTCTCCCTGCATGCCCCCCTCTCAATAGCTCGCCAGCCGAGCTCACCCTCGATCTCCCCGTTAGAACCAGTCACTCCGCGGTTCAAAAACCTTCCGTGGCTCCCCAGTGCCCTCTGGTCCCAGCCCGAGAGCCTGGCCGGCTCCCAAACCTCCCAAACCTCCTCCAGGCCTCGCCTCCTGCCCCAAGGCGGGTCCTCCTCTGACCGCTTCCAACTCCACTGGTCACTTATTCGGGTCTGAGTGCGTGAGTGTGCACCGCCTGCATCTGGATTTTACTGTTCCCGCCCCGTGTCCCAGCTAGGCTGTGGGCTCCTGCTCCCCTGGGGACCCCGCGGAGCCCAGGATCACACGGCGCCACCCCACGGAGACGCGCACCCGAGTGATGGAAACTGCAGGAACAGAAGTCCTGGCCGCTCTGGGCAGCCGCTCCTACTAGCCCCACCCCCTCAAGCCCTCTACCAATCCTAACCGGAGGTGGGCGGGACTTAGGGTATTCTGGCTCTAGCACCAGTCCAGCCTTCTGATTGGCTGGCGCATCTTTCAGGACTCCATTCATTGGGTGCAGCTTCTGCCCCGTCTCCAAAAGCCTGGGCTTGGTGGTGACCTTTTAGCTGCTCAATCCTTTCAATACAAACGGTCTGCTTGGACTTTGAGTGGAGAAATAATAATGGCAATAATAACGACCAATAATAACCATGATCCAGTTAACATGTGCCTAGTGCTTTAGATATATTGCCTCATTTAATCCTCAATAAAACCCCTAGAATCTACATACAGTATTATTCCAATTTTGCAGGGAAGAAAATCGAAGCTCAGAGAGGGCAAGCAGTTTGCCCTGGACCACACAGCTGACAGGTGCTCGGCTTCTGTTTGTCAAACATTTCTTGCTAGGGTCTGGAGTTGTGGCTCAGTCGTAGAGCACTTGCCTGGCAGGTTGTGAGGCCCTGGGTTTGATCCTCAGCACCACATATAAATAAATAAATGAAATAAAAGATCCGTTTTACAACTAAAAAATATTTAAAAAAAAAAAGTTCTTGCTAAACCTTTAGACGTGCCACCTCCTTGCCCTCCACAGCTGTTGGAATTCCTTCTGCAGACCCTTTGGCCCTCCCCTGGGGCCTTACCTGAATCCTTTAGGCCTCAGGAGTCTCCCCAGCACCTGCCATCAGGTTGATCCACGTGAGGCCACCCCTTACCCCAGGGCTAGCCTGTCTACTGGTACCAAGCACTGCAGGGCACCCGTCGCACTGCCATGCCCCTAAATGACCTCTTGACGCCCCAAGGCAGCCCCTGTTGTGGGAGGGACACAGAGTCTTAGATCCCAGCTCCTGGAAGAGGGGATCTGATTGGCGTAGGCTGGAACAAGGATGCTCGGGGCCCAACCAGCAGGGCCGGGGGGAGCCGGCCGTGACAGTCACGCACTGGAACTGTTCTCTCCCTTGTGGTCACAAGGAGCCTAGGAGGAGAGGGGCCAGCGCAGCGGGTGGGTGGGCACGGGAATTGCTAGAAGTGCATTTCCCCTGAGGTCCCCTGTGACGCTGCCGGGGAACCACAGCCTCCTGGGGCCGTGCCCGTTGGCAGGTACAGCCGAGGCTCTGGGGGGTGTTCCTTGCCCCACAGGAAACCCGGGGTTCAGCTCCAGGCCTAAGGGCCTCTGTTAAGGTGTGGTGGGCACTATCACCCAGCCCGCCCAGGCCTGTGGGTGCAGGCGGTTCTCAGAACAGTGTGGGCAGACCTGCTTGAACACCTGCCACCTCTGGACTTGAGTGCCAAATCCTGGTGTCTCCACCGTCACCCCCAGTTGCTCCTGACAACATTCCCTCCAGTGACCCACACGCTTTGAGCCAGATAAGAGAAGGGACAGGGCAGGGCAACGTTAAGGAATCAGGGGCTTAAAGAGTCATGTGCTAATCAGCTCACCCAGCACAGGGCTCCAGAGTGCTTGGTGCTCATCCCCAGAACCCTCACAGTCACGGTCCCTTTTACAGATGGCAACACTGAGGTCCAGAGCAGTTAAGCGAATCGCTCCACATCACACAGCCCGTAAGGAATAGAGCCTGATGGAAGCCAGGCAGTTTGATGCTTCTTTGGGGCCCTTGGGAGTGTTGGCTCTCGAGTGGGACAGAGCTGGTTCACATCCTGCCTAGACTTCTTGCAGCCGTGTGGCCACAGCCAGAGACTGTCCCCGGTCTGCTTCATCTCCTTAGGAACGAAGGAGGTGGTGATACCCACCCTCGATTCTTTCCTTGGATCGAAGTCCTAGGAGCAAGCTGGGCGCCTGTAATCCCAGCAATTTAGGAGGCTGAGGCAGGAGAATTGCAAGTTCAAGGCCAACCTCAGCAATTTAGTGAGCAACTCAGTGAGACCCTGTCTCTAAATAAACATAAAACAGGCTGGGGGTGTGGCTCAGTGGCTAAGCACCCCTGGGTTCAATCCCCTGGTACCAAAAATAAATTAACTAATAAAATGATAATTTAAAAATTCCTAAGAGTGGACGCCCTGGATAAAAGAATTGCAAACGCCAAAGTCTTTGACATGAGTTTCCTCGCGGAGCGGCGGGCCGTCAAGGCTGCATTGGAGCCCAGCTTCGGGCTTGCTGCCACCAGGGGGGAGTAGGCACCAGGACAAGGACCGCCGGGGAAGAGGGTGGGTTTGGACGGTGACTCCTCCCTCCCTCCCAGCCCCTCCCACTTGGTGGGTGGGCCACGAACTTCCGGGGTGGGGCTGAGGGTCAGCTTGGAAGACCCGGGTCCCTTAAACCGTGTCCTTCAAATGCGGACTCTGTCCGGCGGCCGGGCTGGCTGAAGCCGATCAGCGGGCACAGCAGCCGGTTGGACCTGCGCCCGAGGATTTCAGCTCCTCCAGGGCTGGCCTGCAGCCCGGCTGTAGATGGCTCACCCTGCCTGTGCATAGGCTCTGGGTGCCACCCCAACACAGCCAAAGCCACCACAAGGATAACTACAACTATGAAACTACCTGATCAGGACTCCAGACCAGGGTGGCCAAATTTGTAAAGAGGCAAACAGGAAATGTGAGGGGCTTTGCACACCACAGAATCTCGGTTGCAACTACTCAACCCTTTTTTTTTATAGCATGAAAAGAGCAAGAAGCAATACACAGCCCCTTCCCGACCCCATATCCACAGGTTCTGCACCCCTGGATTCAAACAGCTGGGGATGGGAAATGTATTTTAAAAATGCATCTGCACAGAATACGTGTGACTTCTTTCCATGTACCACCCCCTAAACAAGACAGTCTAACAATGATGCACGTAGCATTTCCATTGCATTAGGGATTGTAAGTCATCTAGTGATGTTTCACAGAATACAGAAGGAGCCAGATGCTGTGGCACCAACCTGGAATCCCAGCAGCTCAGGAGGCTGAGGCAGGAGGACCACAAGTGTGAGGTTAGCCTCAGCAGCTTGGTGTGGCCCTGAGCAACTTAGCAAGACCCTGTCTCAAAATTAAAAAATAAAAAAGGCTGGGGATGAGGCTCAGTGGCAAAGCACCCCTGGGTTCCATCCCCAGTACCAAAAAAAAAAGTCTTTGTGTAGGTTTTATGCAAAATACTACACCATTTTAGATAAGGGACTTGAGAGGCTGTGGGCTTTGGTATGGGGGAGGGTTGTCCTGGATATAGTCCCTTGGGTACTGAGAGGCGACTAGATCAATACATGAGCATGAAAAAACTAAAAATAAAACACAAATGAGCAAAGCTGTATTCCAATACATCTTATGGACACTGACATTTTAATTTTACACAATTTTCATGAGCCACAAAGTGGTTTCCTCTTGAATTTCTTTTCACCCATTTAAGGATGTGAGCGCGCTCTTAGCAGGCTGCACGCACACCGGCAGTGGATGGGGTCTGCCCTGCTGTTGGCCCAGGACTGGTCCCAAGCCTGGAGCAGAGGAACCCAGAGCTGCCCGACTCCCAGGCCAGAGCTCCTTCCACTGGGCCACCTGCCACACTCCAGCCCTGGGACGTGGACAGGAAGGGTGGCCAGGCCTCAGTGCGTTGGGCTGTGGCACTGCAACCCCTGCCCTGCGCGATCTGAGACCCTGGGTGTCCACTTTTAGCAGGAAACAAAATCTCCCGGGCACTTGCTGGTGCCAGAGCCACACCCCAGAGGGTCGGATTCCCTACACCTGACCTGGGGACCTGCCCTTTTCTCTGTCACCCTCCCACCCCGTGACTCCAATGTGGGTGTCCCTCCACACCCTCCAGACTGCTGAGCTTGAATCCCAGGAAGAGGGTAGACCCAGCCTCTGTCCTTCGGGAGTCCAGGGGCCATATGAAGGCCAGGAAAGGCCTTCTTGTCCATTGACACCCACACAAGATGAGAAAAGCGAAAGGGAGGAGAGTCCAGGGGTGAGGAAAGCAGAAGCACCATGGGGTCCAAGGGACTGGGCTCAAATGCCA